TGACAAGTTGAAAGAGCAGAATAATAGCTGGTATAGACATTTCCCAGTCTGGAGACAGCCACTGACCTTTCCCTGGTTTAGTTTATAAATACACATCCATCTAATGCTGTCAGATAGTGTGAATTCTGCATGTCTCTGAAGTCCCAGATTTTGTGAGGGAAACTGATATATACCATCGGTTATTAAAAAAAAACCCCTGAACTCAACAGGCCTATTTCTGGACTTTATGAAGTAACCACCATTTTTGTAATTAACCGTCTACTCTCTAAAGGAAAGAAGGTGTATGGAATTTGCAGTATAACTTTCTCACTTGAAAATAGCATTACTCTAATTAATCTAAAGGAAGGATTGAGCTGTGGGATTTGTACGTCAGTGCCATTACACTGTTGTTGGGAGTGGGTTCACAGTTTGATTAGGGACATAAATCTTGGAGAACTGATTTCGAGGAAGTCCCTTACTTCTGCGCTGCGCAGCTGGGGACACTTTATGACATGTTGCCTCTTTTCACCATTGATCCAGTTTTCGTGAACCGAGTGCACTTGGATGCGTGAGATTCAGATGTAACGTCGCAGTTAGGTGTTTCTGCTAAAACGGTTTCAGAAACTGTGAAATACACTCAAGATAAAAACAGGTCTGATGAGGATCTGCCTAAGAATCCCACTGAAGTCAGTGGGAGGTTGCAGTGCCTTCCCAAGCAACTCTGTCAGAGCTAAAACAGTACAGAAATAACCTTTAAAATACTACTACTAGTACTACGACTACTAAAACTATGTATATTATGCAAAATATCTGGGTCATAAAAGTAGTGTTGGCAGCTTTTTTGCAAATCTGGTGTGGGACTTGCCTAGTAGTTCAGTGCTAATGTGTGCTGGTGGCTTTACCAAGCTCTGCTGAAGTCCTGGGCTGCGGGGCTGCGGGGGCTGTGACGTCCGTCTCGCGGGGCGCAGTGTCCCGGCATTCCCGTAGAGCCGGCTGCTCTCTGCCGCTGCCTTTGCACCCTGGTCCCCCATAATGGAAAGTACAAAATCGAGGGGGGTCTTCTCGCTTTTGCACGCTGTCGTGCGGCTGTAGGGCTGGAGTACGAGACCGAGTCGGTTTGTTTGGCAGTAGTTTACTAAAGAATATTTTTCTTTAACCAATCCTTCACTGTTGTGTGGCCAAGATGTTAATTGGCTCGTTGTTTCTGTTAATTTTGCGACAGCGCTATAATTATATCCTTCAATTGTGCCATGAAGTAATTGCTGTATCTTTTCCAAATTTTATGTTGAGATATGTTATTGGTAAACTTTGAATTTGGCAGAGGTGTTTTGAAAATACTGTAAGGCAGTCGGTAATTTTTGTATTTCTTTATTTAATAGTCAGCCATTTGGCAATTTCCAGCTTTGAGACTGTACCGTCAATGTAAATAGAATATTGATTTTATTCTATTTCCTATCTCATTAGAGTCATTGTCATGAGGATGGATTCATGTTGTGTAATTATCTGTTCTTGCTGACAGTTCTCTCATGTCATTGAGATTGGCGTTTCAGCTTCCACTTTCTCTGAGCATAAAAATAGCATTGTTCACTGCCATGCTCTTCTTCAGTGTCGTGCTTTTTGCCTGTCCAGCTTTGTACATCTTTCTTGTGAGAGACGCCTGTGAATTGAGATAGAGAAAACAGGAACGTCCAGCAAACCCAGTTACAGGACGAGTGAAAACAGTGGCTCCTCGGGAACAGTTCCCAGGGCCGTGGGACACTCCTGTCGGATACCTGGTTTGTGTCAGACTACAACCAGGAGAGGGGGGAAAACCTGTCATTAACCTGGCGGTACAACGCTCGTAGCAGTAACGGGAAGTAATAAAAATTGAACATATATAATCGAAACTTGGAAACCCTAATCACAGGGTCCTTTCTGTGTTAGTTTCAGTCTCTGGGCATTTCCAGATCACCTTCCCATTGATTTGTCAAGCTGCTGCTTAATCGTTTTCATTGACTCAGCTTAGCAGACAACTAAGCCATCTCTCTTGCTCTCTTAAGGAATGACTTCTCAGTGTTATTTCTTTTGCCTTTTCTGAGAATCCCTTTTTAATTTGCTTGCAATATTTTTAGCTTCATTTTCCTCATATTCCCAATAATCAGTGAAGAGACAAGTAGGAAATACTTTCAAAAGGTGAACTTCAAAAACAAGCTGTGGCTTAAGAACAGCCTTTAGTACTGAATGGCCTGCTAGGTGGAGCCTGGTAACTGTCAGCCCCAAAGTTAATTAATTGAATTTAAAAGAAAAACAAACTTCAACTCAACCCCTTTCAGTCCTCTCACTGGATTTGCTGCAGTCTTTCCTAGCTGATCAGGGAGAGCCCAGAGAGAGACTCACATGTATCTGCTGGGGGTTTTAGTATCTGAGGCTTACTGGGGACTCATTGACTTGGAATATCACAAGAGAATTTCAAAGTGAGGGGAAAATAGTTTATGCAGATAAAAAAAAAAACCCTAATTCTATGCTCACACCTTTATTTAGTGGGGATACTGAAGATATACCTCTGGTCTGAAGTCAGTCTTTTTGCTAGAATGCTATTTTTACATCTGATGTTTCTGGCTATGTTTTCAGATAGATAACAAATTCTGACAAAACAATTTTTCGTCAAGTAACCGTAGAGACAAAATATACATCTAGCATTTCTTCATATTCAGAAGATTTACCTCTGAGGCATCACAGCTCCTCGGAGTAATGTTTTTCTTTTTGTAGCTGGCAGCCCGAAGGATGACGGGTGAAACTCAGCCTCGTTTACTGCCGCTACAGATGTGTCCCTGACCTCAACAGGAGCAGGATTTTGGTGCAACTGGCTAGGCTGACTCCAAACAGAAGACTTATTACAAAGCTAGGCATAAAACATAGTTTCGTGGGGTTTTTTAACCAGGAAGATTATTCCTTTCACAGCATGTGAGCACAAAAGGTAGTTTTCATCTCTTTGCATTTTGTATGTTGTCTTCGTGCTATCTATCTTTCCTCGTTAGGGGTGACTACTCTTGTAATGAGAGTGAAATCAGATACCTTGTTTTGAAAATGTGGCCTTTAACTTGCTTTGGCTTTAGCATGTGAAATATATCAATTGCTGCTCTAACTCTGCTTGGTGTTCGGAAAAATCAATGCTTGGTATGGATCGTATACCAAACGGACGGACGGGAGAAAATCCCCGCCTAGAGCTGTTTCGCGGCTTCGTTGGAGGGCTCTTATGCCTTCACTGGCATCACCCTCTCCTCAGGGTCTCGCAGGGCATAAACGTTCACAGCAAAGTAACACTCAGAAGCTGTCATTTTGTGCTGCGCCAGAGCGATGGCGGGAGGAGGCGGATGCGTCTGTTACCCGTGTCTGTGGAGGACAAGGACGAGGTGCGGTACACCTTGGCTGGAGGACGGGTGACAGGGTTTAGGATTCCCAGAGGCTGCTGCCAGGGGCAGCCCCCGCCAAGCCGTCCCGCGGGGGCACTGGGGGGGCCCGCTGGCGGTGCGAGGTCCCGGCGTGGTGTTCTGCACTTTCCAGAGTCTCGGTGCGAGCCCACGGCGGCAGGGTAGCGTGGCACGGGCGGGAGAACCAGGTCTGTCTGCCCCAGCACTCGGCACGTGGTTTTCAAGACCGGAGTCGCTGCTGCATCCCCAGGTGGCACGGGATGACTCTGACCTTGGAGTTGCGGGCAGTTGAAGCGAACAAGTGTCAGTGTTTATTTACCAAGACACCTAGCTGTTAACTTGGGCTTGCAAGTAATTGCACACCGTTGTTTGTCTCCTGCTAGCAGGGATTAAAAACGCGGGCATGATTAGAAGCGTCCTGGCAAGGAAACCGCGGTGCCCGTTATAATCTTATTAGCTGTATGAGGTGTGCTTTACTCCTCCTGTAGTTCGTTTTTCTAACCGCTTAGTGCCTGGTGACAGACTCTCCGATTTTCCCCGTCTGTCGGGTCCCATCCGCGCTGACCGCCTCACCGTTTGTGGGGCCGGTGTCGGTGGTGCTGCCTGTGGGGGCGGCGGGGATAAGAGGATGAGGGAGCAGGGTCTGCAGGAGGGGTGGGATGGGACCGCCTTGCCCCTGCGG